TCTTTCTTTCTCTCTCTCTCTCTCTCTCTCTCTCTCTATGATTTAAAAGAAAAAGCAGATAAAAACACATTAAATGTATTTATCCCCTTAACGTCTACCCCTCTTATATAAATTCATATCAAGCACATAATTGCCCACAGGCTCAACCACATATGAATGTGTTAATTATTTTTACGGACTCCAGTACTTAACCAAAAAACAACAGCTCATTCACTATAAAGGCGCTCATCTGCTAATCATGGGTTGTATAAAAACAGTGATACGGTTTGTTTGATTTGTGAATTGTCTATAATTTGTTTATATTTGATGAATTCAACATTTCTGGTAATAAAAAATCTATTTCTTTAAAACTTTTCAAAATATTTTAGTAATAGTAAGCTATAAATAGTTATAAATTGAGTTACATTGAATGTTTAAAATTCTTAATATATTCTTTTTTAATGCAATTATAAAAGTCAGCAAACTTTATAAAAATACAAAGTAATTATTATTAAACCTTGTTATACACTATAGTTAGAAATATTTAAATATGATTTTATAAATTATAACTCGTAAATAGTTTATACCAACATTTATATAAAGGTGTTATGGAAGGGTAGGGATGGGCTAAAAACACAAATAGATAATAATTTTGAGGTAGTATTACTGACATCCCTAAGCAATATTACAGTATAGCTAATTAGTTCATGGATGAGTTTATCTCAACAGAATCATAATCCATCCTAATATATAACTTAATTTTATAATTTATACAATCGTTTTGATCGCAAATGTATTTTCATTAAAAACATTTTTTACTAATAATACCATTGTAATAGATTTTTAAGTAAAAGTTTTTCCCATGAACAGTTTACCCACAACAACTAATTATTTTGATTTAAATTCCTCTCTCTCTCTCTCTCTCTCTCTTGGAAAATAAAAAAAATACTCAAAAATAGTTTATATAAACACAATTAAGATTACGTAATATATTATTTTATAACTTCATAACGACAGTCCCCCATAACTGTAAACATACTTTCATTTTTACATCATAAGATACCGGTCTACCCATACCTTACCTGTGTCTCATGCATTTTTTATTACATAATAATTATATACACTTTTTGATTGACAACTATTTAAAAGTATTTATAATAGATTACTTTTATAATGCATTTCTAATATCAGATTTTCAAGCACATAACAAATCATTTAATCAAAAATAAAAACGTTAAAAATAAAATAAAGTCTCAAACAATAATCAAACAAATAAACAATATTTAAATTCAATTAAATAGTTATTACTGCTAAACACATGTATAATCAGTATTCAAGGATATTAATAAATTTAATAGATTTACTTATTATACAACTGGAAATGGGAGGTTTTGTATATGTAGGTTTTAATAGCGGTTATTTATAATATACTCAAGTAATTAATATGATATAAAAACAAATGGAAAAATGTACTTTTTATTTTGTAATACCCGACCCCAGACCCCCTATCGTTTGAACAAAGGATACTATTGATACTATTGACATTTGGCCCCATCCTATGACAGTGGGAAAGGCTATTGAAAAATCCCTTTCCATTCAAACAACTGGAAAGTCCTTCTGAAATGAGAGAAAAAAAACTTACGAATCGATTGTTTATTATATTTAAACACAACTTTAAATAATTTTTTAATTGATTTCATAAAACAATTGATTTGTGTTTTTATTAGCGAAGAATTTATTGAAATAAATGTTTTTCTTAAATATTGATTTTGAATATAATGTTCATTAAGATGAATAGGAAATCCTTAAAAATGTACAAAAATTATTGAAATGATTTAAAGCATGAGTATCTGAATGTTTTTTTATGCTAAACATATAAGTTATTTAACAAACACTTAATTCAAGGCTTATTAACCAAAAGTATTTAATAATCAAATATATGCTTAGTATCTGTAATGACTTTATTCAATGTAATTGTTTTTCAATTTATAATCTTGCATATTTATTAAACATTTTTTCAATAGCAAATTATTTAAGAAATGGATTAATATAAAAACAATTTTACTTTTAGTTTTATTTTATTTGTTAAAACTTATGTTTTAAAATAGTTTTTAATTTTCTTAATAATAATATGTATAGCTAATTATCATTTCAAGTTTATAAGTACATAATTATAATTCATAGTCGCAAACAATTTATTTTAATTATAACTATTATATTAAATAAAATGTTTCAAAATATAAACAATTAATTATTTAATTGTGTGTAATCTCATAGACATCACACCATTAAATAAGTGCCTGTCCGGTAAGTCGTGTTATATTAAATAATGCCATTATTACATATACAATGACTTGACATTCATTACTACCTGTTTTAATGGGAAACTGTGGTTTTTGGGTATTTTCTACATACTATATATACCGTATGTATTTTCTATGAATATGTGTGCCATTATCATAAGTGTTATGAAAGCGTTTGTTTAGCAAAAAATCCCTTTTATTTTCAAAATACTATTTTCAAACAGTGATGGGTATCTTAAGAGCCCTATTATATCCTATTATGTATAGACTACCAGTGCTTCACAGGAATTATTCACATAATTATGACATTTTATAACAAAAGCAACAAAAATGTGATTTTAGTTTAACTTATAAAATGTATATTTTTATTATTTATGAGAACAAACAAAAAATAGTTAACTATTTTATTTATTAAACAAATATCATATTTATCAGACTTAGGTTTTATGAAATATAAAGTTGTTTTTAATTTGTTTTATGATTGTCATTGCCTATTATTATTATGAAAATAGGTGTTTGCGAGATGAAATACTAAAACATTTGTGATAACATAATATTTACTTGAAGTTGCAATAAAAATCATTTTTAGAAATATATTGGTGATGTGGTTATGCAATCAATATAAGTGACTGATTACTATCAATGTAAGTTAAAGTCTATTTTTATTAATAGGAAGTTTTTCGAAATCATACTAATAACTAGAATTTAACCTGTGCAATAAATTGCTGATAAAATTATAATCAAAATCATGTTCATTATAATTGTGTGATAAGTAAGTGTCTGAATTAAATGGATATTGTTATAACTATTAGTAAATAAATATTTTTGTTACAATTACTATTTATAACTAGTACTCTAATTTTTATTTAACATCTATACATTCTTTATACTAATAATTATAAATAATAATTTACCCTGCTAATTGTGAGTATATTTAACATTCAAATCGTTTTGATGTGATAAATAGATAAATAATTTACATACCATACCATACCTGGCCTTTTGTAAAGTGTTTCCCAATAAATGTTTTGTTTTAAAATATTTGTTATACTAAGTTAGTTCGTATAAACAAAATTACTAAAATATTTCATAATTAAATATGATTTAAATACTAAATTAGTTTTTATTTATTTACATCAAAGTAATTAAAACACACATACTTTTCCTTATTTTCAGGGAAAGGGATTCTCGACATTAATTAAAAGCACACGAATATATTAATTAAAACACAAAAGCTCTTCGCAATCAGTGATACAAAAAACTTTTATTCAAACCCTTTATTAAAAGTTTAACAAAAAGTGTTTTTGAAAACATTACAAAAGCACATAATGTTTAAAGACATACGTTACCACCACTTTAACATCATAAAACCTGATGATACCGGTGCCAAATGGTCTCAACAGTGGCATACGTTCCCGGGACTGGCGTACATACCGGGTCTCACGGAACTGGAGGTGGCTATACAGCCATATGGCGACGATTTGCACCGATTTATGCAACAGAAATGGCATTACTCTCTGTATATATCCATGGCTTATATTACGATAATACTGGCGCTAAGGCATTGGATGAGATCGAGGGATGCCTTTAACCTACGGGTGCCGATGGCCTACTGGTCGGCAGGTTTGGCGCTGTTTTCAATCATAGGTGTGATCAGGTGTTTACCGGAGTTCATACATATACTATACTATAAGGGGTTTAATGCATCGTTTTCGGACTCCAGTTATTATAAAGTAAGTTATCAATTAAATATAGTTTTAATAATGTTGTATTAATTGGTAAAATTTAAGTTATGGTTTTACATTGATTGATTTTACAGATAATAATTTTTTATAAACAATATTTAGGTATAAACATTATGTTTTAAAAGTTATATTTAGGATTTTTAAACACTTCTAACTAAATTTACTTTACATTGTAATTACAAAAGTATAAATTTTATAAATTATAAATAAGTTTGTTTAATATAATGTTAAGTTTGGGAAATATAAACTCTACAAGAAATTTATATTTCCTGACCGCACAACAAATCATTAAAATATAAGTTACATTATATTAAACATAAATTTATAAGGACTATAATAACCTCCCATTCCCTACCTTCCTTAGGACTGGCGACTAAACCTATGGTACCTATTCTTCGTATTATCCAAAGCCCTTGAGCTAATCGACACCGTATTCATCGTACTCCGCAAACAAAAGCTACTGACCCTCCATTGGGTGCACCACTGTCTCACTCTAAGCTACTCGTGGTACGTGTTTGGCGACGTACCGGCAACTGCCCGCTGGATGGTTAACATGAATTTCCTCATCCACTCCCTTATGTACACATACTATGCCTGTAAGGCTTTCCGCATCGCCATACCCCGGGTGGTCAACATCTCCATCACCTCACTCCAGATTATCCAAATGCTGTACGGCCTGTACATCAACATCCAGGTACTGGTGTATAAGCTGACGGAGCAGCCGTGCGACGCCCACATATCGGTAGCCCTGACCGGCACGTCATTATACGGGCTATTCTTCATACTGTTTATAAACTTCTTTGTCCGCACCTACCTATTGAAACCACACACCAAGAGTATGGTATTCACACCGGCGTGTGCACCGGCAGGTATGACCAACGGGTTTAAGGTGAATGGGAATGGTGTCATCAATAATGGGGTAGAGCTCAAGAATCGTAAGAATAGTGCCGACAGTTTTCTCGGTTTACATAATATTAATAATAACATTGAGATCATTAAGAAAATTAATTAATTTGATAGACATTTGTGTCAAAAGTTCTTTGAAACTGTTTTTCTATACTTTATAATAAAATTGTATTTTTACTGATTCTTTGAGTGAAATCTGTTTTACTACTCATTATTCTTGTCATTATTTTTCGCGTTTTGTTTTGTTTTATTCATAATTTTTTTATACATATTTTTTATACACTTTTTGTAATGATTTTTAATGTGTTTTTCGGTGTGAATGAAAAGCATGATTTTATAACTCATTTACAAAATATGAATACATTTTTTACAATTATTATGTGGATAATTTGTTTAATTAAATGGATACTAATTTAAGATATGCCATATACAGTAATATTAATCTCGTTTAAATTTAACAGTTTTAATTAAATTACAATTTAACGTCTAAATCTGTATTATAATTTAAATTTCTATCATTATTTTATGTAAATTGCGTATTTGTATTCATTGGATATTATATACTATTGCTTTTTATACGAAAATAATTTGTAATAATTTTTATATTTTTATAAACCAATTGTCTGGCTATCAGTCATACGAGTGTATAATTTAAATGTTACACAAAAACATTTACAATAATGTATTGAATAATCAATTTTCACACAACTTATTGTATTGAAAACAATTATATTGTGTATCGATTTTATGATTAAATGTTGAAATAAAATGTAAAGATATATCTCATCAATCTTTATTTGTAAAATCCATTTATACTAAACCTATTGGAGTGTTATTTACTTCAAATATGAAATAGCATTTTATACCACACCCACCACCCAGTCATTATATTTTTAGTATGAAATAAATTTTTTGTTTACCTGCTGTTTAACAATATAAATTTTAATGTTATAATAAAATATTATTACGGTAACTAACCCATTAGTGATACATAATGTAATGAATTTTATGTTAGTTAGGTTTTGTGTACAGTTTGTCGTAGATTCATCTATTCAATTTATTAATTGATAAAATAAAATCTTACAATTATGAATGGTTATATTTTTATTAAAGCAAAATTAGCCGGTATTTATAAATTAGTAATTTAGTTTGATTAAATTAAATTAATTTTTTTGAAACTTTTATTTAATATTTTTTTATTATGAAAACTGACTGCAAATGGAATGTAAGTTACATTTAACTAGATTTGGAAGACTATTGCCGATTAATAAATCACATTAACATACTGTGTATACAATAATTATAAACAAGGTAATTATTACATAAATTAATGTGTAGGTGAATAATATATAAATTTATGTATTATCGATATAATTTAACAAAACAATGTGTGCAAAATAATAAGCAAATAATATATAAATTATAAATATCATAAAAAGTGTTTTATAAAAAACAAATGTTTTCACAGAAAAAATGAGAACAAAAATTAAACATTTTTTCAAAACTCTTAATAATAAAAAAGTTTTTTGTATCAAAAAGTTATTCATTTTAATAATTTAATACAAAAAGCCAATCAAAACGTAAAACACAATTCAATAAATAAAAATGTTTTGAAATAAACAATTATATGAATTGAAAAAACATCTAAAAACCGATTAACACTCTAATGAATCTACAGGTGATGGGCACCCATATGAGCCACGTTTGCACGCCTATGCCGGTCAGGTAGTCGACGGCCGGTATATTAGGCTTATTGACCACATCGGGTAGGCCTCGGTTGGTACGCGTCTGTTCAATGGTCAGTGGAGTGGGCTTTTTGAGGTCGTAGGCCAGTCCATAACGGGCACAATAGTCGATGAGTAGGGTGGTTATGTTGAAATTGTCCTGGACATTACACACACACAATTAATATGTAGTTATTTGTAAAATACTAAATACAAAAATACTTAATGTCAAGGACTCCAAAAATATACAAGCTAATACTGTACTGAATAAGTTCATGAAAACCGGTACTATTTTTAATTTACAGTTTGTATATTAATAAAATAAATTCTATTAGTTTGCCAAGTAGAGTTTAATTTTCTAAAGCTACAAATTATACAATTAAAGCCTATTTTGTAAATTAGTAAAGTATTAAAGAGCACACAAATAGCATACCTCCCAACCATACTCTCCCGTCGAGTAATCATATGGAAACACGTGATGATAATTGTGATAACCTATTGATTAAATGATTTTATATAATAAATATAATATAACATAAAATAGTAAGACAAATTAACAAGAGCCATAAAAATAGAGGTTACCTTCTCCAATGGTGAGCCAGGTTACCGATTGACTTTCAGCTGGATTAATGTTCTTATCATATGGACCTGAATTGTTATCATAAATTAATTACCAAATAAATAAAATAATTTGTAATAAAATACATACGAATGCCCCAGAGATGAGCGACTGAATTTACCATGAATGCACAATGAAGCATGCTACATTTTGGTAAAAACAAGTAAAATTAATATTAATTAATACAGATATATGTTTTAAATCAAATAATTATTTCTGATCTAATGCTAAGTAACCTTAAATATAAAAATATAAAAAGTACTGCTTATAAAATAACTGTATTCACTATATAGCTGAATGAAAATATTTACCGGTATTTAAATATTTGAATATTTATAATAAAATAATAAGTTACGGAGTACTGCAATAGTATTTTATAGTATTATACAACGACTTATTAATAGAAAATATAATATTGTTTTTATTATTAGAGAAATCAATATCTATTTGTTTGACCCTGAGCGTTACCTTAATATTGTTACGAAAAATCAATAATCTGCGTATTTATTTTAATTTGAGCAATTATTACAATAAAATATTCTGGTATATTTTAATTTAAACTATTTGTTAAATTTTAAAATAACTAATTGTAATAAATAATGATACAACTCACAAAACGTATCTGGTGATGCTAATGGCTAGTGAATTGCTGAATGTCTCGTGCCACCAGTAGCATGGTAATAGCACCGGTATGACAAACCATATGATAATCACCAGAGGTAAGTAAAACTTTTTCTGGTAGTAAACTATAGGGTCCTCTAATAAATCGCTTAAATCCACATTTTTGGCTATAAATGAAAATACGATAAATAATAAAATGTTAATATTGTTATTAATTGTAAACAAATAGATATATAAAATAATTATCAAGGAAAAATATAGTTTAGCTAAAATAATAAATGAGACACCAATCCATTAAAATATATCATAAATGGGTATTTTAATAGACATTTTTAAACAATTTAATTCGTAAAGCATGTTAAGACATATTAAACAAATGCACTCTTATTATACTAATGGATATAATTAGTTAAATGTCAATTCAAAATATTGCTATTATAAGCATAAATCTATTAGTGAATAAATAGATTTAATTTTATGAGTAAATATTAAGAAATAAAAATATGTTTATGACTCAAAATAATATAAATGCTTTATTGATAATGTAATAAAAATAAGATGTATTACTATTATACCATAGTTTTATGTTATTGTTTAAATTGTAAAGCCAAATAATGTTCTGAATACATTAAAATGTTAATGATTTAATATATATTAGGTAGGCATTATATTAGGCACTCCACCTCAATTTTAAATTAATATTAATGTAAGAATTTAGTCATTTAAGTCAATTTTAATTGTCATATAAAAATAGCATTAATTTCAATCAATGGGCTTTATTTTATAATTAAAATAATCTAGGCCTTTAGAATATTGATTTAGCTGAATAGTTTTAAGAAATAATTAATAAAACAAATATTATTTTAATTAAAACTAACTATAACAATAATTAATAATCTTTATAAAAATTGTGAATTAATAATTAAAAATGTTGACTAAAAATTCAATACTAAATAACTATTGAAAATATACTGAATCTATTTATAAACGCCAATCATTAAATATTAATCAAAACTCGTTCACATTATTAGAGACATATAATAAAAATATTTTCTAATTAAAACCCTATTTCTAACATTAATTGTTTGATAAATTTAATATTAAAATTTAATAAATTATATAATATACGGACTAAAATCAATCTCAAATGGGTGTGAATAACACGTGATGGATAATACTGTTCATTGAGATTAATGTGGGTATTTTTAGTATGAAACGTGTTTATTTTTAATTTCCTAATTTTATTAATTATTGCAATTTATGAAAACTGTTAATTACTGTATTGATTGTGGAGTTTACATGTCATACACGCCTAAAAGCAAAAGTTTTAAAAATAATGAATTGCTTAACATAATATTATTTTTAAATTAATATTTTTATTTTTATTTATGCATCCTTCAGTTTATTAAAATGTTAGTTAAAAACATATATTTCAGTCAATTGTAGGAATATTGTTTTGTCTAGACATTGAATAAACACAGATGATTTTTGACAAGTAAACAATTTTTTATCATTAGCTTAATCATTTGTTTAACTATTTTATTTTAATTAAATTTTTCTCTGTATAACATTTGCTGTTGATTAAGAATTCAACACTTAATTAAATATAAATATTAGTTATTAGTTTGGATTGTAGATATATCTGGGATATAATAATCTTTTTAATTACTTGTCATGAAAGCGTTAAATTAATAAAAATAAATTATAGCATAATGACATGATCTATATTTTTTTACTCAAAACATTTAAATTAAAAGTATAGTTTACTATAATCAGGCTTATGCAGTTTTAATAACAAATAAATTTAAATATTAAACTAAAATCCATAATCAATATTTTTAAAATTATGAGAACAAATAAAATGTTCAATGTAAGTTTTACAAACTGAACTTAACATTCAATTTGCATAACTTTTAAAACAGTATAAAATATCAAACTTAAAAGTAAAGTAAAAAATAAAACATAACCAAAAACATAAGCTTGGTCATGGACACTCACATTTTTTAATAACCTCGGGATGGGGTTCGACAAACAACCAGCCCATGTGGGCGTAAAAGAACCCGCGGTTAGCATTATGGGGGTCGGCATCGGTCTCGGAGTACTTATGGTGTATGCGATGGTCGGCACTCCACGCGTATATATCCCTCT